ACGAGAATCTACATATCATTTTTTTACCACACCTTACTCTCAACTTTGAGTAACGAAAGGCTTCTGCTTATAAACAAATGCCATACGATCATGGGAATACGTGTCTTAGGCGTTGCAACGATGTGCTAGCTGCTCGTTGCTGTGTAATTGAATAAATTATAAAAACTGTCGATGATGTCACACGAAACCGAGAATCCACGCAATTCCAATACGCGACGAAACTGACAGTCAGCGCAGCACAAGACACGCGTCACAACACTGCCACCACACCACCCGCCGCCATTCACTAAACTAAAGACGCGTATGATTCGTATATTCTGCAGATGTAGGCTATTTAATATCACTATCCACTCGTTCCAAAACGACCATACACGTGTTCTTCGGAGTATGTAACAGCTTAGCCTATTGAATTGTTCCTCTTGTCAGGAGGACACAGTCAATAATAGATGAAAGTTCAACGGCGCACTCGTGTGACACCGACGACTGTCATGGCAGACTGTGTCGTAAGTTACAAATAGGACCAGTGGCGACTGCTGGCGTCCTAAACTGAATCATGGCCTGTGGGCCCGACCCTTCTTTCCGTTACACGTTACTGCGCATGCGCCACTAATCAATGATATGTTATCGACTGGATACTACGCAAACGATATCTTTTAAATTTGAAGAAATGAAAATTTGTAAAATTTGTGATTCGATGAATTAATATTACGAAGAAACAATGTGTCGATAGTAGTATTTGAAAATATCTATTTTTTACCGAGTATCATTTGTGAAAACCATATATTTCGTGTAAAAAGTTATCGTACTTAAATACGCATTATCGAACTATTTAAATGGTCGAATATCAGTATAAGTGTATAGAATTAAATGTTAATGTAATCGTTTACTTGCCTTATCAAATATTTAATCGTTCTTTTTAACATTAATTCTTTCCCTGCTCAAACCATGTTGTATTGTGAATAAATGTAACTAAATGTACTTCCCAACAGCTGGCAGCACGTAACGGAATTCATGGGGTAAAGGAATATGAGTTCAATGAATAGACGATATTCGGTATCGTGTATAAATGTGAGATAATTCTGAGCTATAAATCTATTTTAAAGGTGACGACGAATTCGTTTGTATCAAATATAATGTTATTTCGATGCCTTTCGAGTGCTCGTGCTTTTCTCAGCATGATAAATGCTGAAACGTGTATACAATGTAGTAAAAATAAAATTATCACGTCAAATCGACCAACACGTCGACTATTCGCGACGAACGTGCAGTATCCTACTATCGGTGAAATTATCGAACAATGGACTAAACAGTTTGATAACGAAGGTATTCCAGAACCTGTAGAATCAATCGAACACATTGTTGCACACGTGATAGGCACTAACAAGGTACTATAATTACTAAAATACTAAACGTGATTTTAATCGAATCTCAATCCTTCGCTCTTGTTTATTTCTTTCGTAATACCGACCGGCATTAACTAATGAGGTCATTAAAACGTCACCGATCTTACAAAAATGATATGTTCTTCTATTAAGTTTTTTATGATCTTTAATCTTATAAATTGAAATAAAAACTGAACGACCACTATTACGTAGCAATTTATTATGAAATACAATAATATAAAAAAATATTGACAATAATATGACTATTTTTATACGATTATTTTTTAACATTGCAAGCGAAATAGATGACAATAAGGTATCAATAGAAATTCATCTTCAAGTGCTAAAATAGAATTTCTGAAAAAACTTTTTTCAGATACTAGATCTTGTAAACTCACGAGATAAACGACTTACGTCAGATCAATACAGTAAATTGGAATCATTGTGCGAATGTCGATTATCTAGGTAAACATATTTGCACGAAATAGTTAAATAATTAAATTACTTTGTAATTGTAACTCTTTTTATATCTGAATTTTTACAGAATGCCGGTTCAGTACATAATACAGGAATGGGATTTTCGGGATATCACGTTGAAATTAATCCCGCCTGTTTTCATTCCGCGGCCAGAAACTGAAATGTTAGTTCATTACATTTTAAAAGCATTAAACTCTTCTGAAAGTAAAAGTCATGAAATTTTAGAAATTGGATGTGGTTCTGGAGCAATATCTCTTGCGATTGCACATACTAATAAAACAGTAATTATTGTGACATTACTATTGTCTATTTTGCACATATTAAACTACCTATGTTGAAAATGTTTTTGAAGAAAAAACAGTATAACACCATATAACTACTTTTTTAGGTCAATTGTATAGCGATCGATTCAAACTTAGGAGCATGCGAATTGACTAAAGAAAATCGAGATAGATTAGATTTGAAAGATCAAGTCGCAGTTGTACATGCAACTCTTAATGACGATGGATCAATCGCACTTGCGAGCATATTAAGTGGACCTAAAGATCTTGATTTAAGTTCGAAAACTTTTAACTTTATAGTTAGTAATCCACCTTATATACCGACTAAGCAAATAGCTGCATTACCTCCGGAAATTAAAATGTAATTGAAATAGTTTTTATACATATAGATTTACATAGTTCAATTAGAAAAAATGTTCAGATTTTAAAAAATTTTCTGATTTATAATTTTATTTTTGCGTTTTAGTTACGAAGATTTAAGGGCCCTTGATGGAGGAGAGGATGGCTTAAAGATCATTAAACCTTTACTAAAGTATGCTGCTACAGCTTTAAAACCGGGTGGACGTTTGCTTTTAGAAGTCAATACAACTCATCCCGAATATATACAATTTTTCACTAAAAAATATCCTGTACTTAAACTTCAATATGAACATACGTATAAAGATTTTTGTAATAACGATCGATTTGTTGAAGTATTAAAATTATCGTAAAAATAATTAATGCGAATGTTTATTTACACTCACACAGTTGATTAATTATTTAATTAACATCAATAATGCAATTAAAAATTTGCATAACCTAAAATACAATATTTAAAATAATTTATTTACTTTTCAATATTCAAACATTTGGATTAACAATGTTTTCATATTGGACGGAATCAATTGCAAAATTGTATCTTTTGAAATAGGACAATTCTTACTGCTTAACTTAAATAGTTCCTAATAAGAAAGAATCCATTATGCATCTTAATTAATAAATACTAATGCATGTTATATACAATGAATATATAAATGATTTAACTATAAACTTTGTAACAGTATTCAAACTTTTTTCTTTGCTTAACCTTGCTGTCTATATAAAACAGAATATAAAATCTTAATAAATCTCATTTCACTAACTTTTTTTATTGTCACTATAAAAGAAGCAGTGTTTTTTGCAATATCAACAACAAATTGCTAAGACTATCAACCATAATAGCATCGAAATGTGTACAAAGTATGAGTTAAATATTTCTATTTAATAGATACAGTTTCTTAATTCCAACAGTCTTTGAAGAAAATGTTACTTGAATGAATATGTTGATGAAAATGAGTTTAGTGTGATTATATAATAAATGTGACACATTGATTATAAGAAATATCGATACACAGTGTATGTATAAAAATTTTTTAAATATTTACAATTGTAACAAATACAATTTTAAATACTGATTTATACCTTTTTTACTCATCTTATAAATATCAATTGATCAAACATTGTCACTGTCAAAGTCTAAACACGAGGAATTTCTTTCTTAAAAATTTCATTCATACTAGT